TTTCAATAAATAAACATCCGTGTCATATTTTAATATTCTGGAAATAGAGTGCTAGTTTTGTCCATCCTGTGAGTTTCCTCAAATTAAATGTAAATATTAGGATTAGGTGTTAAAATAACTTATATATAGGAGTATCTGTGATTAGTGACTCTAATTTATGACATTGAAAATAGAAAACATCAAGTTCCAATTGGTAAATCCTTATTACTAATGGTAGGATAAACGTTCAAGGAACCTTTGTAAAGAAATCTGATTTCTTAGAGCTAGTGCGAGATGTCATATTTGATATTTGAATGTGAGAAGGTGACGAGAAGATTGTAGTTGCAATGGGTCTACAATTTGGTGAGCGAAAAAACTCAAATATTTTCATATATTGATAAATTAATTATATTATTACATTATGTACAATTACATGAATTTCTTGTACAAATACATGATTACTATGAAAGGTTCTTTCGTTAAGATATATATGAATAAGATAGATTGTATATGAATTACTTGTAAATTGGAATGTGACATGTGATACTAAGATCGACCAGAAATGTACTCGTGAACATATATTTCTTATAGTTAACAGAGAGTCCTTAGCCATTTTCTATCCTACACGGAGGGGTCTTAACCGAGCATTGGTCTTGACTATGTACATATAGTTCACTGAGTGACTTTGATCGCGTTCTAAAACCGATTATTAGAGGTTTTGAAGACCAGCTTTTATTCACGGAAGGGGCCAAAAACTCGTGGCAAAAGTGTTTAACTCGAGGGACAAATTACAAATTTTAGTCAGAGGGTACATATTCGGTAGATTACATGTGATGTAATGAGATGATGATATGGATTTGAGTTGATGATTATATCATGACTATGAAATAATATTTTTCAGTGTTACAAGTGTCTCACGTCTTGATTATTCTAATATGTTATTATAATGTGAAATGTTAAATGATGTCAACTTGATTTTCGATAAAATGTATAAATGTGAAAGTATAATTGTTTTCAAACTTTCTCCATTCACTGAGTTATCAACTCATATATTTTCTTATAATTTTTACTACAAGTAGCAATTGGTTCTTTATAGTTAGAGGAGCCTAATGGTTTTAAAGTAATAACCACACAACATATTGTGTTATATGATTCATTTTGATAAAGCACTTAGTAATTATATTGGGCCCATTGCATATATTTTTTTCATAAGCATCTTATTTGGTGCTTAGCAACTCAATAGTCAGCCTTAGTGATTGATCTGACATTTAGTCAACATCTATTATCGATGCACGTTATATTTCGGGTCCACCAAAATGATTTGGAACGAGATGCATCATTCACTCAAAAAAAAATCAGCAAAAGAAATATACAGTATGCACAATGTTAATTTCCTTAACTAATCAATTCAGGACATATAGTAATGTCAATGATAAAGCAGTACTGTAAATTTCAGTTTTAACTGGGATCACAATATGTCCAAATTCACTAGGATTCGTGAATCAAGTTCCAATTTCAAGGCAAAATTTAAAACACTTCAGTAATAACAAGATTAGAGGACATCAGATTTAACAACGGAGCTTAGTGCGCATGCAGAAGTGACGCAAAGTCAATGATATGCAACATTTCAAAGTTAAGGGAAAAGATGGTGAAAAATGTAGTCACAGAACATAGTAAGGGTTTAAAAATTGCAAACCAAGATGTTGCTTTGGAGGTTTGATCACCATAAGCACCACAGGCATGAAAAGAGGTCAAGAAGTCAACACAATGTTCAGTAGTTTCAAATTGTTTGCAAGTTTTCTAGATCAAGGGTTTCAACCCAAATCTTACAAGAAACACCAAATATTTAAGTTAGAAAATAATTTTGTAACCAAGAACAGCCACTAAAGGCAGGATCATTCATTGTGTTTGGATCTAAGGTTATAAAAATACTAGATCTAAATAGTTCGAACTGTGTAAAAAGTTTTTCTTGTGTCAAATATTCAATTGAAAGTTCAATAAACCTTCCGGTGACTAGATCTTTCAAAAATAGATCTAGGGTTTTGGAAAAAACTTTGAGATCTTAAATGATTGAAACCAAAATCAACTATGAAAATTGATTTTTTACGGTCAATCGACCATCGAAAATCGAAAAATAGATAGTTTAATCTCTGATACGACTATTATACAAATATTACTCTTCAAAGATTCAAATCATACAAACCCTTCAGAGAAGTTTACAACTAGAACCAGAACACGAAAGATATCAAGATATCTCAAAATGGGCTCAGATTATATTGTACCATTTTGTATCCTAGTAGCCACAAACCCAGATCCTTTAACGTTGAAGTTGCTTCTATGGATCAAAAGATCTCAACCCAGATCTCGAACAATCTTCTCACAAGGATTCACTTAGAATACTGAGCAAAACTTCCAATCGACGGTTGAACTCGAAGGGGACAAGACGAACTGAAGATAGGAAGAAAATCCTAGTCTCTCAAAAGAAAATCAGACAATTGGAATGATTAGGGCAATAATAGAAGCCCCTATTTATACCCCTAACCACCACCATTGAAGTTGCATTATGGAACATAATTTCAGCCCTTTATGTTGGTTCCAGATTTTGGGGCAAACTCATGAAATTATCATGCAATAGTTTACCAATCCACAGGAATTTGGAACCCAAGTAAAAGTCATTGAAGACGCAACTACTACATGCAAAAGCCAAGGATAAAAGGTATAACTTCCCAAAAGATTAAATAAGTTATATAAAGAAAGATTTATGATAAAGGTACATAAAAGGTGATGTTTCCAGACGACAAATGTGCATCTTTCCAAGTGCTCAAATCCCATAAGTTCTAAATTCATAAAAGTTGAAAGCTTAGTATAAATTAATTAAGACCATTGGAAAATGTAGATATTTCTTCCAAGAAGTGAACCACAAAAGGGTTAAAACTTTGACACGTGGAGTATGAGAAAATTATCATCCATTCATATCCTCAACATATTGTTCAATTTTTTTTTCTTCTTTAAAAAAGTCTTTTTCACTATGCGGTCGAATAAGACAAGCAAATTTAACGTTCTCCAATCGACTTCCCACCAACCACTACTTTTATTAGGAAAATGTCATTTTTTTTTTTAAAAAAATTTGGTAAAAGATGCCAAAACCTTGCTTTCAATCGGTTAGTGTCGGCTAGGCATATTATTTTAATTTAATCCTACCTTTAGTATTTACTATTTATTAGAACCGTCAATTGAAAGAGACAGAAGGAATAATGTTCAAAATTAAATATTATAAAACTTTTTGAGTATTTTAAATTTTTTTTTTTTTAAAGAATTTGTTTGCTTTGTCATAGTTTAAAATTTTGTTATTATTCATGATGAATATTGAATATTTACGTAAATATATCTAGAGCCTGTTTGTGCCACATTATTTCAAAAAAATACATACTTAAACAGCAATTTGATATCATTTCAACCACACATTCTTCAATAAAATAATATTACACGCAAATCAAAAACTTTTCCTTAATTTTAACCACATATTTCCTATCGATAAACTATTCAAGAATGCATTATTATCAAAATAATGTGGCTCAAACACCCCATAGTATATATATATATATTTTTTATGTCATATGTAGACGTAAAAAAACAAACAAAAATAAACAAGCTACTATTTACAATAATGGTGAGATATCATTAGAATAAATAGAAGAACCATCAACTTGGAGAGAAAACATAGGATAGGATACTATAGTTTAAAAAAAAAAAAAAAAAAAAAAAAGGGAAAAAAAACTATAGTTTAAAAAAAAAAAAAAAAAAACATAGGATAGGATACTATAGTTTAAAAAAAAAAAAAAGAAAAAAAAAAAGAGGAAAAGATTGACTTGAGAAGATGGTTTTCGTAAGGATACATTGGATATTTGACTTAGAAAAGACTTCAAGAATATAAAATACGTTGTATTATCGTCATATTCTTTTTCTTATAAACGCACCACTTTGCAATTATGAAAAAGGTCACATCATTAATTTGGTCGTTACATTTTTTATGTTAAACTTTAAATTAATTTACATATTTTAATTGTCTTTAATGATAATTTTCGTTCAAAATTCTGCTAGCGTGGTTTAAAATCAGTGGCAAAAATTTAATCGATTTTGTATTTGCTCTTTATTTTTATTTTTCTTCTTATATAAATATATGGGGTGCAAAGGAGTCTTTCTACTTTCTATTTAAAACGAAATATTTGGACAAAATCGTCATTAGAAATAATATGGGCTAATCGATGGAAAAATATATTTAGTTGAAAATAATAGCTAGGTTGATTTTTTTATTATTAAACTAAAGAATTTCAAAAAATTCCCTAATACGATAAGTTGTAAGAAAGAATATAATATAGAGTTAATTTCACTTATTGTCACTCAAGCTCGAGAAAATTTTAAATTGACCATTAAAGGATTTTCTTGATCTATTTAATCATTAAAGTTAAATAATTAAAAATGAAGAAATTGACCAATTGACCTTCGATTATAACTCTATCAAAATCTTTTTACTATTTATTACGAGTAATGATATTTATAGTCAGAGACTGCATTAGTCATCATATATAGCAGCTTATTATTTGAAATATTAACTTCTTGTTTGAAACAAAGTGAATTACAGAAAACTAATTACTCGAATAACAAATTGTCACATATGTTGACTAATACAGTTACTCACTATAAATTACATTACTCATTATTGAAGAAAAATGGGATTAGTGATATAGGGAACGATTTGAGATTTTTCATTTATTTTTTACAAAATATGAGCTTTTTCTCTCGTACGAATAACATTTTACTTTAGAATTAAACTAAATGACCACATTTGTTGACACAAAGGTTGACACACCTTTCACAGTCGAGGTGTGGGTCCCACGCCAATAAAATAATGTCAACCTTCCAATTTGAGTGTGTTGTGTCAATCGATGTGTCAACAAATGTGGCTATGTAACAACACTCTTTATTTTAACTGGGATACAACTTTATGGGATCTTTTCTTAACGGTAAGATGATGCGGTGTCCTAAAATAAGACGAAAGAGAAAAAGCATGAAAAGTATGACTGCAGCCTCCTCTTTATTCCTGACACTGTAACCACTTTTGTTGGTCAATCCCAAAATTCCCAAGTGCTGGCAAGGAATGGCAAAATCAGCAGAATGCGGAGTAGTACCGCAGGCAAAGGCAACTGTCGAGATGAAGAGAGAATTGGAAAGAATGGTGAATGCTATAGTGGAGGAGGAGGATTATACGGTAGAGGCAACTGATCATGCTATGGGAATTTTATGGGCTCTTAAGGATTTGAAGTTGAAGGCTGTGATGAAACCACAAGAATTGTTGGGACTTGATAATTTTTGTTTCTCTGCAGTTCCTCCTCCTCCTCCAGAATTAAGGTGTCCAATTTCTGGAGAACTTATGAAAGATCCTGTTGTATTGGCCTCTGGTCAGGTTAGACTTCTTTTTCTGTTTTCGTATCGAATGATTAATTTATCTGGGCCGTGTTTACTGGATAATATTTTAATGTTCTTCAATGATTCGTATTTGTTTTGAAATTCTTGTGAATCAGATTGTCATTGTTCAATGTGCCTATTGGGGTTGTGGGATTATCAATTTAGGATTTTGCTACTTTGGTAGAAGAAATTTGACATAATCCGAGGTGGCAGTAGATAATTTGATGAAAAAGCTTATTGTGTTTAAAATCATCTGGCATTATGTCCCAGCATCTGGCATTGTACCATGATTCATCAATTTAAGTCTCTGCCCCTTCCAACAATAGCAGCATCTACAAGCATTTGTCGTCTGCGCATTAGATAGAACAAATAGGAAAACTAAGGCAAGAATGGAAATTAAACTCAAAATTATAGGAAAGCGAGGAAGGTAGAGAGAGTCAAGTTTTTAGGTTGAGTTAGCTAGTGCCAACAATCCCTTCTGTGATAAAAGTCTTCTTTTTCTGAACTCTTTATCTTTTCATTAGCTATCTTCGTGAATATATATATGTATTATTTTCGTTTTGGGTCCAGTTTATTTTATTCCTTTTCATATGTTCATCAAGTTATTGTTGCTGGTTGTGCTGTACAATTTGGACTGCTTTACAGACATATGATGAAACATTTATCCAAAAATGGTTAAAAGATGGCCATCAGACATGTCCTACAACTGATCATGTACTGCCCCATACTCTGCTCACCCCTAATCACTTGGTCAAGAAAATTATTTCCAAATGGAGCAAGGAGAAGACCTCTGAGATGTCCAGTGCTGAAATGGAGGGTGGTGAGGAATATGTAGAAGATGCAAACTTACAACAATTTACTACCCTTCTCGAACGACTTTCGTCTTCTTCCCTTTCTGATCAGAAAGAGGCAGTCAAAGAGACTCGGGTGCTCTCTAATCGCTCACCTTCTTTTCGTGCTCGTTTTCAAGATGCCATTCCTCAATTATTCGATACAGTATTGCTTGAAAGGGCTAATTCTTATATTGATCTCCGTGAAGATTTGGTAGCGATCATTTTGAATCTCTCTGTTCATGACAGCAATAGAAAGCTAGTCGGGGAAACTCCATCGGCCATTCATTTTCTTATAGAGACCTTGAGAAACGAAAGAATCGAAACGAGGAGCAATGCTGCTGCAGCCCTGTTGGTATTATCAACCCTCGACTCAAATAAACACATTATTGGAAAATCAGGCGCTATTAAACCCCTTATCGACCTCATTGAAGAAGGGCATCCATTGACAGTAAAGGATGCTGCCGCAGCAATCTTAAGTTTATGCACTGTTGTGGAAAATAGGGCCTGGGCTGTGACTTTAGGGGCAGTCACTGTACTCACAAAGAAAGTTATGGATGATATTCTCATTGATGAAATGTTAGATATTCTTGCAATACTGTGCAGCCATCAGAAGGCCGTCGAGGAGCTTGGAGAGCTTGGGGCTGTATCGTGCCTGCTCGACATATTAAGGAAAAACGTGAGCGAACTTAACAAGGAGAAGTGTGTTGCAATCTTGTATACGATGTGTTTCAGTGATCGAACAAAGCTGAGGGAGATTCTGGCAGTGGAGAGTGCTTGTGAAACGCTCTCTAACGTTGCACAAACAGGAACTTCAAGGGCTAGAAGGAAAGCAAATGGCATTCTTGAGAGGCTTAACTGATATGCTTTCGTTCCATACACTGCTTAAAATTGATTGTTCATAAAACCCTGAACATTTTTAGCATCCCACTTTTGTATATTGCCAGATCCTTCCTGATTCACACACAGTAATCCTGAAACTTGCTTGCTTATGAAAATTTATAATATTGTTTTTGACTGGAATTTTTGAAGTTATACTAGTAGAGCAAACTCTTTCAATTTGTAAATATATTCAACAAGACAACTTGACCGAAAGAAATATGTTGAACAAGAAGAGTCTACTTAGCAGTGTACCTACTCGAGCGTGTGATCATCGTTCCATCATACACTGTCGTCAAAAATGCTACTTATACAGATCTTTTGTACAGATGGATTTACGGATACTGCGATGGCAGAATTTAATTAGTTGATTTAGCTTTTTTTTGTCCAAAATCCAATGAAATCTTGCCTGCCGACATTCTGTCAACCACTCTGTAAGTACATGTACGTGTAGCATTTTGCACATATCATTTATGCAAGATCACATCCCTATTTAGAAAGGAAAAACAGAAACATACATTCAGCGAGGCAATATATTTAGTCATTGATTTTCGAACAACATTAGGACTAAAAGTAGGTGTTGAATTCATTGGCAATGAAGATGGTACAAAATGCAGTTCATACAATGCTAAATTTAATACACTCATCATATCAATAAGTAGAGATGTCATTACAAGTTCGTGTTTACCAGATCAAGGTCCCTTCTGTTCATACTTTTGCATCAATGGGACTGATTTGCAGACATACAAAAATTACTATCCATTCTATCTCACCGAGTCTCTCTCCAAAATCGTATCTTGAACTCGAACTCATGTTGCACAAGGGGGAGCAATGCACCGGGAAAAGAATCCCAACATTTTCTTCTGCATTGAACAAACAGGGAAAATAAATAAGAGGATATGACAAAGTGAAGAGGCAAACTTTATTTTATTTACTTTTACTAAGTAGATGGGACTTACACGTTTGGTTTTGTGAAGAAGATGAGGGGGAATTTTGTAAAGATCTTCGTCCACTGGTTTCGCAGAATTAATTATGGATTGACGTGGGTTAAATTCAGCAGACTTGTTATTATTCTTCTGAGACAAAGGCTGACTTCTCCGCTGTTCCATTGCCTCGTGCACCTTAGCTTGCTTTCTCCGTTCCGTGACATCTGCATAGCGCTTGGCATTTCCCCTTGTCTGCAATGTTATATATTTTTATTCATCGTCGAGAAATAGGTAGTTCAAGGACAAAAGAAATTAGAATGACCATGCAAAGTGTTAAACCTATAAAATTACCTCATATTGGGCACTCCCAATGGGCTTGGACTCGGCCCATCAGCGCACCTGACCCATTCATTTTTCTATATATGTGTGTGTGAATCCATTTCATTTTAAGGTATCTTCTCTAATCCTAACCAAACTCCCTTTCCCGTCTCTTACACTCTCATATTATTTTGTCCGGTCGTTGACTTGATCGTTGGAGTGCAAATGGTCATCAGAGCTTTTTCTCGACCGATGGCCTTTGCCTCCTAACGAGGTGTTTATTCTTCAGTGTGCAGGTAATGTCTACATGGAAGGGATGCAGTTGGATTCTGTTGGCGCATTTTTTGAAGCCAACACAAAGGACACATAGTTTGATTCATCTTAGTTTCCTAATGATTAAAACTTACTCGTTGAGAAACAAAGAAATTATTCACAAAATGAATGCAGGTTTCTCCTAAATCCTAATACTTAAAACCGAAAAATTGGGGAGCTACTTCTAAAAGGAACGGCAATTTTCTTATCTATACAGGTGCCTCAGAAATCAGAATGTTTAAGCACAAGTTTTACATCAGAAACAGAGTAATCCTTGCTCAAAACTTAAAACTTGGCATATTTCTTAAATTATCAGATTATTCGCCTAACCACATGATGTATTCTACAGGGAATGGAAGTTCAAAACCAAGTGAATAGTAAGAAAACATCATAATTTCACATTTAAAGAGTGTTCGGTAGAAAGACCTTTCGTGGAGGAACACCATAGACGGCCTGAAACGGCGGTTTCTCATACTCAACAGAGTAAAGATCAGCGGCGGCGGCACCCCAAGAACCACCGGTCGCATTACACGAAACACATTCCGCCGAACAGGTGCAGCGCATCAGGCCGGCTTGCCTTGCGCACTCGAAATACTGAGTAATTGGAAGCTCATTTGTCTTATCCCAGTCACCAAATGCCGGAATCTGCCCACTCTTCCTGCAATATTCCTGTAACCCACAACCAAGAAAAACAGTAAATTCATATTAACACCAATTTCTGTACAGAAAATGCAGAATCCCAGAAACAGAATCAAGTTTATTAGACTCACTACACCCATAATTTCAGAGCTATCGGCAGAAGAAAAGTTAACAGGGTCAGGAGTCTTTTGGAGTTGTGGGAATGTGGAGAAGAAAAGATAAAAAGAGTCAACTTTTGAGAGTAGAAAATTGAACAACTTTTAGCACAAAGTCCAAGAGAAACTCTGTGGTCTGTCCGAAATGCAGATAAAGAAAACTTTCTATCCTTGATTTCCGCTGCAGAGTATGACTCTCTAATTTTCTACTGTTTACACTAAATCTGGAGCTTGATGACTTGGAGTTTCCCCCAGTCTTTTCAACCGTTGTTTGAACATGTTTAGTCAAACTATCTATCTGTAATTTTTGTCCCTTTTGTTTTCATTAAAGTTTTTAATCAAATATTTGATGGATTTGATAAAAATTAATGAAATATTTGATTGAAAATTTGTGAATTCCATAAAATTCTTGTCCCCGTTTGAGTCATATTATTGTAAATAATGAAAATAAAAAATATAATTGTTATGGGTTCCACGCAAGAAATGAAAAGTAATATTGTGACTTGTTATGATGAATAACAGTCATATATTTCATTTTAATGAGGAAATAATGGGATTCAAACAGGATCATTGGAAAGTGAGTTTGAAAAAAAAATAAAAATTAGAGCCAAATAGAGGCTTTTGTTAAGGGCCAAATCAGGACGCAATAGAGATCGAAGAAATTGATTTTGGAAATCATACCGGCTTTTGACTTTTGACGGCTACTAGCCTCGACACTATTTTAGTGTCTTTGTTACACAAACAACTATTCTTTAAGTAATAGGAAAGCATTTATGAAATGAACAGTGCCCAACAATAGAAAAGTTCGCAAGGTACAATCGAGCTATGAGCATCACCTTTTTGGTATATATCAATTATCCTTACTATTCAAAATGATTAATTATTTAGGAAAATAACATATCAACGGAAATGAAAATGAAAATAAGATATGCATGGACGAGTTGGCCTATTCGAGTCCTGAGCCTATTGAATGAGACCTAATATCGCCCGTTTTGCAAAGATTAGTGAGGCGTAATTGACTTGGGCGATCTTTATGCTTCTACTCTATCGTAAGAAAAGAAATATGAAAAGTTAGCAAGTACAATTTTAACAAAACTAGAAAAAAATATGATTTATATAGCCCAAAAATTAGCCCCCAGGGCACATCTCTAAATGGTAAAAGGTGAGGGTGGAAAAATTCAGTTTTGCTTGAGGTTGTTGCGTTAAGAATTCGAATCCTAAAATATGGATTTGGCTCTTGGGTAAGTGCAAGTGTACAAGCAGCCTTCTACCCTGTATCTTGGAGGCATAACCTGCGATTTACCTCCCTCACGATACACCAGTTTAGTGGTGGTGGGGACCCTTAAGGTTAGGATTTAACTTTTTTTATATAGTCCAAAAATTAGAAAGATAAGACAGGCTGTGCAATGACAATGTCTGGGGTGGGTACTGCAGTTGAGAATATTTGGAGAGGATAATTTATGCTCAACTTATAAGGTCGGCAGCAAATTAGTCTTAAACTTCACATGTAACTTTTAAATATTAATTTTCGACTGCAGTTTTGTTATTGCACATGATTTTTATGCAAATATCTATTAAATAAGCATGTGACAAACGAGTGAAAGTCGAAAAAGAGCATATTGCTAGAAATTACCTCATTTTTTTTTTATTCTCAAACTCACTCCCATATTTTCTCGAATTATTTTTTTGTAGTACCATAAGTGTTTATCACCCCGTACACGACGGTGATATTAAGATCCATTTAATTGGACAATCACCACATACATAGGTGATGAATATTAATAATGCTATATAGCATTACTCTAATTTTTCATTTCAAACTCCCAACAATTGCAAAATTCAGTCACCAATGAAAAACTATCATCTGCAACTCACGTAGATCCTCATCGAACAATCTTAGACCATCTTAAATAGTAACATCAGATTTTAGATTAAATTATTTAATTAAATATTTATTATTATTAAAATCGTTAAATCAATTTGAAATAAAAATGTTTGGGACTTAGTCAATAGGCCAAATGATCAAACCATCATTGGTACAAAATGAGTTTTTAGAAATAAAAAAATACGAAAAATGGGAGAACTGTGCATAACAAGGCTATATCACAAGGTTACAATAAAAAGAAGGCATCCATTATGAGGAAACTTTTGCACCAATTGTTAGATTAAAATATATTGATTCACTCTTTATCAAATAAATGTTAAAAGTGCATTTTTAAATGATTTTATTCAAGAAAATGTTTTTGTAAAGCAACATCCCGATTTTAAAGATCACAATTAACTGGATTGTGTTTTTAAACTCAGAAAGGCTCTTTTACGACAAGCTCCTAGAGCTTGGTATAAAGATTGAGCAAATTTTTACTTTCCAACGATTTTTTATTGGGAAAAGTGGATACTATCCTCCTTATCAAAACCAAAAAAAATAAAATAATAATAATAATAATAATAATAATATGATTATCTTTCAAATTTATGCTAATCTAACCTCTTTGTATCTTTACTTTTCGTAAACTCATGCTTTGACTTGCTTATATATATGATATCCAATATTTTGAACCTTTTGATTAGGCTTCAATTATTAACTTAAGGGGGGAATCTTTTATTATTTCCTATTATACTTTTAATCTTAAATGCTATATCGTTTTGCTTATGACAAAAGGGGAAAAATATATGAGATGATATGCTTTATATGAAATGATATGTTTGATGAAATATATGATATTATATGCTTGATGTGAATGATAAACATATGTTTTAAAGTGAAATGGCTATTGGCTTGTAAAAGATAGGGAGAATATGTGGATTACATGCAAAATTTAAGATTTACATTCCTTATCAATTGTTCAATATTACTTTACAAATCATCTTATTTGTCATATTCAAAAGGGGGGATATTATTGACCTATGATTGATTATGACCATAAAGTTTTTATTATAACAAACATGTTAATCTTATTTACTAACGAAATGAATATACGCGATTATAGTTTTTCAAAACATACTAAAAAATTGATCCATAATCGTCAGAAGATTAAAAACTATCATCACAAATCAAACTCAAGAAGGAGGAAAAGATTGAAGTCACACACTCAAGAACTTAAGAGCTAAACTTCGTAGAAAGATCAATTACTTGATTTTCTAGATAAAGTGTAAAGGTACTAACACTTTGTTATTTGGTAATTAATGTTTAAGCTCAAAATTATTCAATGCATTAAAAACAATTTTGTGCACTAAAAGTCATCCTAATTTAATTTATTAAAGGATGTCAAACAGGGACTAAGGATGAGTTTGATTGTAAGCATGAAATTTGCATAGAAAGAAAGTAAATTATAGGTAATTCAATTGCCTAGAATTTATTTTGCATGAAAATTATTAATTAAATGTGTTTGATTGATTTAATTTTCAATCTAGAAATTATTATTATACTTGTACGTTGTTTATTGGTGGGTAGATGAGAGAAAATAATAGATAAAAGAGAGTGAATTCCTTGAAAAATAAAATTTTACTTTTCCTAAAGAAAATATTTTTCTTGATTTTGAGAAAAATATGGTCACGTGACTAAAAGTAGGAAAATATTTTTCATGAAAAAGAAGACAATCAAACAGTACGAAAATAGGAATTTGGGTAAAAAAAAAAATATACATTTTTGATGAAAAATATTGACAATCAAACGCAACCTAAATGTTGAATTTAATTTAAATGTTTATCTATTATTTAAACTACACCAAACATGGATTGAGTATTTTTATTTGTACTAAAACTTGTGCTGAAATTTTTTTATATGTTCTACAAATAAAACAATCCTGCACAACATATGCATAAAAATAACATCCTCTGGTACGTTAACAACTTCAATTTGGCCTTCTAACTTCAGTTACAAAGACAAGAACACCCTTCTAACGTTAGCTAAAATATAAAATATCTATAATGGATATGCATTGTGAATATATTTTTGTACCTTTAATTTTAATATTGTCTAACATTGTAATTAATAAAAAACAAAAAACAAAAAACAAAAAAAAATAAAAATAAAACAAAATGCTAAGTGTACATGCTGTACACTCTTTTTAACAGTCCACTCATACGAGTGTTTTTCGAGATTGTTTTAATCGTGGAGTCCACTTATGTAATGTGAGAGGATTGTAAAAAATGATAAAAACATTTTAAATCTTTACTTGATTCAGAAGATTGATTAAGTACATGCAAAGCATCTATAAGAGCATACTGGAGGGAAAACTTGTTTATTCCACTTGATTACTGTAAGTTATTTACTTATTTTTACATTCTTATGCTTTAATTATCTTTGATGAGCAATTCACAAGCATCCACTTCTACTGTTAATAATGATAAAAATCTCATTTTATTTTTAGATGAAGAAGATGTTTCTTTTCTGCTTAAATTAGATGTAAAATCTGATGTTATATTCCCTATTGGTAAAGAAAAAATTGAAGAAATATATAGAGATATAGATTATAGTTGTAAGAATAATATAGGATTTGATTCTGTGAAAACTTATAGAGAAATAAGAAAAGTAGAAGATATTATAACTAAACATACGGATATACAAGAAGAAATTTCAGAAGGATTATTTAAAGGATATATAACTAAGAAAGGCCAACCTATAATCTTTGAAGAACTATTAAAATATAAAGAATATTTAAAGGTGTTCAAAAGATTGAAAAATATAGATATAGGACCTGATTGACAATTCCTTAAAGATATAAGATAAATCTTGCAAATAATTTCATCAAGGGCAATATAGTACTTTTGATAAGAAAGGCTATTGTGAAAAATAGGAAGAATCTACTAGCCATTCTTAAAGTTGTAAACAAATACAGATCAAACTTTGTTTCTCTCAATCTTACTAGAAAGATACGTGATTCAAGCCGACGACTGAAGCCTCGGTGAACGGTGACCGTATACAATGAACTATACAAAATGTTTTAGAAGTTTCTTGGTTTCGTCCAGTCATTAATAACTTATTCTTAATCGTATAAATGTGTGACTAAAATTTGTTGTTAACTTTGACTCAAATTTTTATCAAAAATTTTAAACCACACAAAATATGTGGATGATAGCAAGAAATAATTTTAAATTATTATTAAGCTGTGTTTGGTAGTCATTTCTCGACAATTTTTAGAACTTTTTTGACCGTTGGAATGGTGACGTGGGCCCTTTGCAGCCGTCCTTTTTGACTTAGCAAGAAGCAAATTCTCTAAAATGCCACTCTTAGAATGCAATGAAATAAATGCAAAGGGGTTCAAAGGTAATTTTCCTTGAATTTATCAGTAAATGTAGCTGCCATCATACTGTATAACGGGAAGAAATTCTATTAAAATTTGCTGAAAATAACTACCGAACACACTCTTAAAATTAGAGTTTGATTTTAACTGAAAAGTAAAACTAACTTCTAATTTACTTAAAATGTTATCCAAACTAAGGCATAGGATTTTAGCCCTAATGCAAAAAAGATAATGCCCTTATTTGAGTCACATTATTTTCATAAGAATACATTTTTTAATAGTTTATTAATGAAAAATTTGTGATTAAAAAATAAGAAAAAACGTTAGATATGCGTGTAATATTATTTTATTAAAAAATATGTGATTGAAATGTTGTTAAATCATTATTTAAGAACGTATTTTTTTGAAATAATGTGGGTCAAGCTGGGCCTATGTACTTGTCAAAATTAATCTCTTGCCTTCAGTAGACACGATAAAAATTTTATTTGATAAAAGAAATTTAATTATGATTCTCTGAAATCGAATCATAATTGTGAATATAGAACCAAAATTAAAATTTTCTGGTCACATCAATAATGTAAAGTTTTTATCATTTCCAATGGCAATAAGAGATCAGGGTTGATGTATTTGTACCTAACTTTGAAAAACATGTCACGAAATTATGAAAAGCGTCATCAATAAGATAATTCCGCCCATTGTGAACTTGTCCAATTGGCCTGATTTAAAAAAAATAAAAAAATAAAAAATTAAATTAATAGAGGTCTCATTTCTATTCTATGGCCCTGGATACATATTAATGTAAAAATGAGAATGAAAAATATAATCGTTATGGAATTCACACAAGAGATACAAATTCAAATTTAGTGACTTGATGTGATGAATAACGATCATATTTTTCATTTTAATGAAGAAAAAATGGGAAACAAACGGGAGCTATGGGATATTATAATAATTTATATTACTTGTGAATTCTACTTGTAAATTATTTATTTTACAAACTCTTTAGGCTCCGTTTGGTAACTATTTTTTTCAAAATGCATTTTTCTCTCTCTTCTGTTCAACTATACATTCTTTATTAAAATAATAATACACGTATATTAAAAGCTTTTCCTTATTTTTCAACCACACATTTCATATCAATTTACTATTCTAAAATACATTTTTACATAAAAATGTCTATCAAACACCCCCTTAATGACGTATTTTTTCAAACATATCAATTATAAAATTCATTTTTGTCATTATGACTTAATTTTAAAATCGCATTAATTTTTTTAAAATGATAAAAAGAACATGGTGGGCTGGACCGGTCCAACTTGCAATATTAGTGGGTTGATGAATCAATCCGATCCTCATATTATATATTTCTTTTCTTTTTTTCTTTTTTTGGATGAGAATAAATATATTTTTGACCCTTCTCTTTAAAATACAAAGTAAATGTTCTTGCACGAATCTCAGCAATCACTTAATCTGATTTCATTTTCAACTAAAAGAAAACTTTCGAATAGAATATTTACATTATGTAAAAGATCTTCATTTAGACTACATTCATCCAAACTTACATACCCATTTTATGTTTTAATACCTCTATTTTCAGCCTCTCTCTATTTACTTCTGTGGGCATTCCACAATCACAAGACAAATTTAAGCAAGATTTTACTTTCTCCAATAGATAAATAAATCCCACACAATTGAGGTCGTTTAAAAAATAAAAAAAATAAAAAAAAAGAAAGAAAAAGGAAGCAAAAAATCAACACAGTTACACAGATGGCATCCTGAATTTCTATAATCTGAAAGAATTGACAAGTAAATATACTGTAAATTTGAATTAATATATACTCAAAAGTTCAAAACAACCATTTCACTTAATTAGAAACTATCTTAATTTCCTTATTGGTAGTGCTTCACCAAAGAGTTTTTCTACCTCCCCTGCTTCCATTTTCAGTTCATTCAAAACTTCCATTTCTTCTTTGCTCAATTCATTTAGGAAATAATCTTTATCTTTTAGGAGTTCTTTGAATCCTTCTGCTAATCTCTGAAACAAAGAAACCTCAGTGTTTTTCACATTTTCTACTTCTTCTTCTATCTCCTCGACTTCTTTTACTATTGTCTTCTCTCCTTCCTCCACCGTCTTTTCCAATCTCTCAACCAGAGGAGGTTCGGGTCCACAAGTGTTGTCTGTCCTTATAAACTTGTCGAAGTCACGGTTTACGCTTTTTGCAGCCCTTTTCAGTTCAGGTACAATGTTTTCGGGCAAAACTGCACTTCTCGTGTATACCACAGCACCACCATAACCATCCCATGCATCGTTCCTGCCTCGATAGTAGACGAATACATAATCATCAGGGCTGTTTTCTATCTTCGATGAAAGAATGTACCTGAAGAAATCACATTTAACAGTAGATTAGTTCGTTGCATTGTCTGAGTGCACGTATTAAGGTAAAGAAATAGACACACACACACACAAAAGGTTGCACATATGGATGAAAACTCGGAATTTGGAATTCGGAAATCAGACAAGTCAAGAACATGGAATTTCATGACCATTTAGAAATAAAAGCTTTTGAGACAAGGACCATTCCTTTTCATCTGGCTATGGAAAATAAAGGCCATGTAACTATTCATAAGAACTCATGAAATGAACTTTCAATATGAAGTCCTTTATTAGACTATAAGCAGGGCCTGCTCTGATGATTTGGGAGCCTCATGCCAACTTCAAATATGAGTCCCTCTATATTTTGAGTCTTTTAATAGAGAGTTTTAATATAATAATGAAGGATCAAATATAGACAATTAAGTCTGAAAATTTGAAGAGGAAAATAACAAAATTTCAACTCTTAACATGTAATACAAATTATAAGTGAAGTTTGGCAAATAAAAATACAATACAATGGCAAGGGGGCCTGTTTGTTTATTTGATCATTTTCTCACTACAATTATTTCAAACAAAATTGAATATGCATTTAAGTAATCATGTACAATATTGAAGAATGTTGATTGTGAGAGAGAGTGTAACAAAATAATACACATGATGATCAAATACAAATGAGCTTCTAATTTTATATTAATTAATAAGAAATTAACTTACAAATAAGAAGTATGAATGCAGAAAAGAATTATTAAATTCAAAATATTTTCATCAAACATCTAAAAACGCTATTATCATGAAGTTAAAGCAAAATAATAATATTAATAACAGCAACAGCCTATGATTTGAAGATAAGAGAGAGAGAGAATTATGCAAAGCTATAACAATGGCAGTGAGACCAAACTAATCTACTAAATTGAATCTTCAAAATTTTAGTTCAAAGAGAGATAATTAATTTCTTGTTGAGTTGAAAAAAGTTATGATGGGTGATCGTTGGACGTGGAATTTGAATAGACAAAGAGACATTTCGTTTAATTAAGAAATGAATGTTTGGAAGATAAATGGTCAAATTAGTTATAAAGTGCAAGTAATGTTTGTGATATATTTTTGTGATATATAATTCTAAATGATAAGTTTTAGGCCATTTATAATAATAATAAAAATTGCATTTTCAATTTTTATTAGTTTATTGTATTTGCATATAATAATTTTATTTTAAGGAAATTCATAAATATAATTTTCGTTTTTCTTCGACCAACAAATTAACTTTACATAATTTAAGGGCCTAAAAAAAGCCTACCCCACCTATAGTTAGGCCGCCACTAACTATAAGGTGGCTCTTGACTCATCATTCCAATGATTACCATATTTTTGTTAGTTTTTCCACAAGAAAATTGAACTCTAAATGATCCAAGTATGATCAGGATTCCAGAAAATGAAATTCCAGTTCTCATGGAAATCAAAATAATTAGTACGTATACAATGGTTTTGTAAATGCTTTTATAGCAATTCAATTCTTGTGCAAGACACTCAGTTATTTGGATGCAACATAATCTTAGGTGAATCATTATCTAAAACTGAAGAGACGTGGAAATTCCTGTATTGTCTTCTTCTGTTAGTGTCATTCAGAACTAGTCGATCCCTGAACTTTTCCTTGCTAATTGTGATCATGCCTAGCACTTTTCAACACTATAATATTCAATCCATGAATGACTCTCTATGTAACATAGACTGGTGAGTTGTATGCATATATGCCAACGAATATAAACTTTTTCAAGCACGCATGAATGCTTGTGCAAGCAGGGCATAGAAATGAAGTTATGTATACCAGTCATCTTGGTAGTGAAGAAACTCGTTGTCATGATTGTACAGTATTCCAGGATATTTTGGGTCTTGGACAAATTTCTGTACAGCTGATCGTGTGAAAAATCCAGTATCTGGAGTCCGTATTCGCCATGACAAATTCCCCACAAGTTTGTTTGATTCTGTACGAAACTCGTGCACTTGGCAATCAAAGGTATCAAATGTAGGATTTAAACCACTAGTTATAAACCACTTCCCATTGAAATCATTCATGTTGAAGTTCTGGACAAGATCAGCGGGGTTAGGTGCAGGAAATTCGCCGGCATCAGATTTCCGTGGTACGCATTTCTTTCGCGAGACTGCGCACTCATTGAACTCATCTACAACGCTATTTTCAAACAAATCACCACATTTTATCTGTGAAAGAAAGAGCCATAACTTTCAATCAAGATCTGTGTGGTACACCAATAACAAGGTAGTACAATGTGAAAAAAAATGATGGCTTACCTGGCATTCAGTTTCATCGGGTCTGTTATTGCAAGTTTGAAGACAAGCAACGTTAGCTGCACATGATGGGTTTGCAACGCACTTGGCGAGCTCCACCCTGCATGAAAATCGGAACCTTGAGAATATGCATATAGTGTGCGTAGTTGTACTTACATTTATTCCTTTTGTTATTTAAGCAAAATTTGGGAGAGCATGGTTAAACAGACAAAAAACCTCGAATTAGACACCGAAGAGACCACAAACCATATCATTTTGACTGTTGAGTTCTTTTTACATGCACTTTGGAATGATTGTGAACAATACAAATCGTAACTCAAACAAAGCATAATATCAAAGAACAGAAAGTTCAAGAAAATTTGGAATGAAGAGAAATGGAAACATTCATAAAAGCTTTAGTCACGCTGAGGCGGTCAAAGATTTATGAAGACACTGGGTTGCTACTGAAGGGGATTAGAAAGTAGTGAGATTTTAGAGCTTGAACAGGGGCAAAGGCGATGTTCGCCATTCTCTGAAGCACCAACACACAACAATAAGATGTTATAGTGCAAGAATTTTCGGTTGAACAAGGTCAATATAAGTTTTATTAGGTTGGCATAAAACCAAAGAGGCATAACTGGAGGAATTACTTTAAATAGATCGAGTGCACCTAAATAAATCATGAAAAAATAATTAAAATGCAGTCACTCCTAGGGCTTAAATTAAAATACAGAATAAGACACCCTATTCTACATCCTCCCAACCCCAAAAAACAAAATCTAAAAACATAACGATTCTTCCCTCCCTTTCCATCCACCATCTAGCATGGTGGAACAGTGGGAAAGAGTTAACACAGATCCAGTTTATGGGTTACTGTAAAAAGAGTTGTACATCACTTCCAAACACCCTATACGAAGCGGAGGATAATGAATCAACACTATAGATGAAATTTGTAGTAAAATCTACAGGACAAGGATTCTAAGTGCTGCCATAACTTGGTCAACTTTTGAGGTTGATTCCAACAATGCGATCGTGAAAACTGATCATAAGGATCAAGAGGAATCAGAGATCAAATATGGTGTGAAAATATATATGATATTTTTACGAGTTAACTAGCAATCTACAGGTCAATTATAACCGTAGTGATCATCAGAAGACAGTGTACAGAAAACTAAAGCACTGTTAAGCAAAGTTTCTTAGAGAAACATGATTACACGGGATGAAAACAGATACATGCAATGTGATTGGGAAGAAATATCAGTTTCCGAAGCAAACTATTTACATATGGATGAGTTCAGAGCTAATCTAAATAAATATGACTCTCTCTAATAACTTAAGCTTTTAGATGAAGTGATTAACAGAATGTATTGCCTGCATTCCTTCAGTAAGCAAGCACAAGTCTTGAGAGCATCTACAGCATTAGCATTTGGAATGACCAATAATGTAAATATAATTAAGATTGCTGCACTGCTGACGTAGCTCCACTGCTTCCAAACAGTGAATGTCACAGCATCATGAAATTGGAATTTCATTTTTCTCTGCAAAATTTTTTGACAGAGTTTAACATGCTAATAGATGAAGTAAAAATGAAAAACAAAGGCCAAATATTAGAGGTTACCTCAGGTTTACTTGTGCTATTGTCATAGATTGAAGAAACCTTGTCCATTTCACATCGAAACAGATTAGAAAATCTTGACCCAAGACCTCTACAAATTTGATTAGCCTTCAACTTCATGTATCTGGAGTTCCGTTTACTGCAATACATTCTCACCACTACACTACCATAAGAATAATCCCCAGTTGGGTTATACTTCTCACCAATAGGCAGTCGTGATTTAGAGTGAAGAAGGAAACTTTCATCACTGGAAACTACCGAACAAAAGGAGCAAGCCATGCTTCAGTGTGATCACTGCCAACAGCAACCTGTAAGTAGTTTAACTAATTAGAGTGCTTATTTCTTTTATGTCTAAATTGGTCGGAAAAGTTTAGGCAATTCACAAGGTACCACACTTAAATGCATATGGAAGAGCAAAATATGTGTGTGCTCATCAGTAGGTCAAAACATTTATGAACAGTTTTCTATCAGTCATAGAACCCAAAAGCCCCAACATTATTATTTCACAAAATTTAAAGTGAACAAGCTAGAATTAAAGAGTCAGTTCAAATATTACCAGAAATCTTAACAAAGTCAAAAACAAATCTTGATAAAAGGCAATGGCTGTTGGCTAAATCTAAATTTGCATGTTGATCAGCTATACTGTTAGATTTAATGTATGTTTTTGGCCAATGTTTTCATAGCTGCAACATACTATCTGTTGGTTACTTGGTTCTAAAGGAAGCATTACTCAAACTGGAACCAGCCTCTATGGTTGCGAAAATTCAATATCCTTTGCACTTAATATCCTATGATCCTTCTAATTCTGGAATCAACAATTTTCTTCACAAATTCTCAGACATTGCTACTAATTGCAATGCTAGAAAATATTAATCACAAAAATAACCAGTATTGAACCCATGGCATAAGCTAACAGAGAATTCTCAGTACTAAACCACATATCTTCCACCTTGATTTTAAATTCAAATAAGATATTTGACTTCCCAATCTGATTCTGGAATCTAAGATATACGCTGTGAATCAACAATGATTAAAAAACATCTTTCCCGCTACTTTTCTAAACTGAGGTAACTTTCATTAACCATAAAATGAATGCAGCCCTCGAGCCGCATTTGTGACTATTCTTCAGTCTTCAGATAGCACCCGTTAGAAGTCTTGGATAAAGAAATTATAAAATTGACACTGAAAGGTTTAATGTAAATATCACACTCTCAATGATGAAGTTATTGTAAGCCCTTGTTTGACTACCATTCTTTTAAAACTCATTTTTTCGCGTAATCATTTTCAACCATGCATTCCCACGATAAAATATTCTTCACATCAACCCAAAACTTATTCCTACATTTAACCACAGGTTCTCCAAAAATTTACGATTCAAAAACACATTCTACACCAAAAATGGCTGTCAAACAGGGGCTAAATAGGCAGATGGATTTCACTACTAAAAAGAGTACAATTCTTTCTCAACCCATATTCAGACCCAAAAGCCCACCAAAATCATCCTCGTCATTTATGGGGATAAAATGGGATATCAGAAAGCTAACAAGATAAGACCTATGGTGATTTTCTTCACAATTCTCGAGCTAAATTGAAGAAATTCAGGATTGTGGGAACTACATTCTAGTGTGGACCAAAAATGCAGACTATAGTCACCAATTTACTTCAATTCGTATCATTTAACACAAAACAAGTGCATATCCATTTCTCATGAATTCAGACTTATTTATAGACATGAAAAATGCATGTAAGATGAGGCAAAAGGACAGACCTTGAATGGCTGATATAGGAATGGTGCTACGGAGTATTTCAGCAGCAAGAAAGTTGGTTGGAGATGAAAATGAAGAAAATTGGGAAAAGAAGAAGGAGACGTGTGAAGCTGTAAAGGGTTGAAGTAGGATAAGAGGTCTTGTGAGTTGTGAGTGATACAGAGCCCTGCAACGTTGCCTTCTCTTGGGCGTCGGGGGATGGCTAGGTGGGTGGGGCCGCTCTCACTCCTACGTCATTTTTACTTTTTGAGGCCGAAAATTTTTTGATCAATTCTACGTGACTTATTCGATAATGATTGTGAGAATTAATTTTTTGATCGTTAATTTTTTAAATTAGTCGTTATTTTTGACTTTTTCTTTCACAGATGAAAGTAACGATCAAAGGATTAATTCTCACACTCATTATCGAACAAGTCCTACAGAATTGATCAAAAATTTTTCCGTCTCCAAAAAGTAAAAATGACGTAGGAGTGAGAAACGAGTTCCATCTGTAAAAGAAGAAGTCAAAAATAACGACTAACTTAAAAAAGTAACAATCAAAAAATTAATTTTTCAAGATGAAAAATTAGAAAAAAAACACACACACACACACACACCCAAATATATATATATATATACATCTGTATGTATGTATAATGTATACATACATACATATAACTCTTTACAGCCACAACATTAATTATGCATCGTTTTACCTAGAAACCATGGCTAATGGAGTATTAAAACCTTAAAGGGACTAACGAAATGAGTAAAATCGAAAGTTTTGGTGTCATTTTAATAAATTAAAGTTAAGTGACCCAATGAGATTAACCCTTTAAAATATTAAGATAATACAATGACTCCACCCAAAGTAATTCCCTCGTTTGTCTGTTCGAATTTTTATTTATTTATTTATTTATTTTTTCCTTTTGGGAATTTCTCACAAATGTTCCATAACCTTTGCTTTCTTTGTGCAAATAGTCCCTATCATTACTTTATTGGCATGGATGTCTTCAAGCTAAGTGTTTTGGTGGACAATTCTTCCTTTTTCATACAAAGACCAACTTGCTATTAAGCCATGTTTGTCTCCCGTTTAGAAGAGTTTCTGGAAGAAAACGATGTTTTGGATAGTGATTTTTTAAAGAAGGTGTGGTTAAAAAGTAAGAAAATATATTTAAGTTTACGTGAAAAATATTTTATTGCATGAATGTGTGATCGAAAATTAGTATGAGAAAAAAATGAGTTTTGAACAAAAGGGAGACCAACATAGGCTAATTTTAGGTCGGAAAATTTGCAACTAGGTCCCTAATGTTATGAAAGAAATAAAAGAAATTAACGAGTTCTTATATTTAAGAATTTATTGACCAAATTGATTATATAAAATAAAAACACAATAATATAGTTTGAGTGTCATAAAATTATATAAATCATTTTATTATTTATTTATTCACTTATCTTAATTTTTATTCAATTTTTTTACATTACAAAGGAATTACATGCAATTTTGAAAAATTTTATTAACACGACTATAATGATATATTAAATATGCTAAGTCAAATATTATTAAATAAAGTCTGAAATTTTTCTTAATTCATATTTAAGGGTGTATTGATTTTTCATAAAGGACCAATTGTGCATCAAACTACATATATTGGGGACGTTCATACAAAAAAACAAATATTAAGGACCATTTCGACGCTGAAAGCAAAGGTACCATTCGCGCCAAATTCCCTTTAGGGAAGTTTGGTTCCTTACTTAAACGGATGAAGTTGAAATCTTTGTAATTTTTCATCTGAATTTGACCCAAGAAATTATTTAATCACGATGCCTAAAAGTTAAAAACTAGCCCCTTATGTACAATTTCTCAATAAATGTACAATTTCAACCTTTATCAATGAAAAGAAATTAAAATTTGACACTTATTACTATGTTGAATTTGTACATTTATTTGTGCTCAAAAGTTAAAATTTTAACTGTTTGCTTGTCTCAATAACATATAGAGAAAAATACTGATACAGTAACGGGTTAAAAATATAAATGATCACAGTAGTTTAAGCATCGTTTTTAAATAATTGCTTAACTTTAAAAACTTTTTCTTAGTTGTTGGATTTTTTGTTGATATGTTACGTGTAAATTATATCGATTATATCACAATCGTACGATTGTAAAGTTTTGTAATAAGACTGTGAAACCAGGATATCGAACCCACATGAATTGAAAATCAAATTCTTACCAAGCACTATAATGAGAGTAATCTTCATTTTATCTAGATAATCAAAATTTTTATATTGATGTTTTTATCTAAATCTAGCGTGAAATTTTGACTAAATCAACGATTGAAAACAGATTTTAAGGATTAAGCAATATAAGAAGAGCCTAGAATTTTTATTTTTATCTGCCTATCAATTTTGTTTCTCAATTCTCTAGTTATCTCCAATTGATTTTCCTAAGTTTATAAGTAAACCCTAATGTAATTCTATTCCTTCTTTGGAATGTCGAGTAAAAAATTATTCTTAGAATTCAATTTCAATATCCCTATTCCGAATAAAAAATTTAGAAAATTATCAAGTATTATGATTCGTATTTGAAACAACTTTAAAAGAATTATACTTTCTCTCGAAACATATAATATCTTAAACGTTCTAAAAACTCATAAAATCTAATAAAATTATCATGTTAAAATAGTATGAAATGTATGAGTGACATACATTCATCATAATACTCAATAAATCCCTCGAGTCTATGACATTTAAGTTAGTTTCATAGACTTCGAACGAATATTGAATTAACACCAAAAGATGGGACCCAAACAAAAAGCTCGACCCAAGACTTAACGAACCATTTGAAGCAATGATTCATTGAATTATTTGCTCATGGTCCATTATAACCGTAGGCTCTTTTGCACCCTCTTTGGCCCATTTGCTTGTGCTATAGCTTGGTTGCTTACATGTTGCTCCTTTGTCATTTGTTGATGTTAAGTGTGGTAGGCAAGAAAAAAAGTGAGGCAGCCTGTTTTTCTCCTTTCTCTTAGTGAGCAACCATGTTCTGTTGGTAAAAATCTTGTGACAGCCGTGTGTCTATCTCTTCTCTTTTGAGTGTGAAGCCACCCTCTTCCTTTCTCTTTGTGAGATAGAATGTTTTCTTTATGAAATCTTGGACAACCTTTGTGGTTTGTGTTGGTTGAGCTTTGTGGTTGTTGGAGTATCCTTGTTAGTGTTTGGGTCAATTTAAAGTGAGCCCTAACTATCGAAAGTGTCGATTTTGCACTTGGAGCTTCCTTGGTGGTGCAATAATGATTCAAAATTAATAATCGTGTAAATTTCAATAGTGTTTTCCATTTGTCACTCTATCTCTTTCTATTTGAAAATTAATTATTTTGATGATGAGACAAATGTAATGATCCTAAATGATAGATCAAAACCAACATTAAGGCCCTGTTTGATTGCACAAATTTGTCATGAAAATAGGAAATTAAAATTCTTTTTCCACCTTTTTGCATGTTTGATTGGCCAAATTTTCTTGGAAATTGGTTTCCCGCCGACACCCCCTTTTCTACCTTTTGGAAGAATTGGTTTTCCCATGAGTTTGGCGATTTTTGGTTTTCCAGTTCCTTTTTTTTTTTTTTTATCAATTGAAACAAATTATATCTCTTTAATTGATAATTTTTATGGAAAACATAGTCATACGAACACTAAAAGATCTAAAATTTCAATATTTTTCAGGTGAAAAATTATATCAATCAAACACGTTTAATTAACAATTTCCAGTAAAATAAGTTTCAGACAATTCAAGTCCTTGAAATTCATTTTCTTTCCATTCAAATTTCATTCTTGGAATCAAACGGACCCTCAAAGTTAGTGAGTACTAGAAAACACAACTTTGAAAACACAATAACTATATTCACAAAACAAATTTAAGGGTAACTAGGAAACAACTTTAAAACCACCAAGACCATGCGAAAAATTCTAAAGTTGGAAACAATATTGAAAGTGCAATGACTGCTCAAAAACACAACTTTAAAAGTGCAATGACTAATCAAATAATTTATAAATTCAGTGCACTGTTGCAAGACAACTTTAAAACTACCGCCACTATTGAATTTTTTTTATTTTTTTTTTAAAGGTCAATAATAGTTATGAAACAACGTTAAAAGTATAGTCGTAATTGGTTTTTTTTTTTTAAACAAAGACAACTGCTAATGAGTTCATCGATGGAAACATCAAGATTTTTCTCGATAATTTTTAGTATCTTTTGGCATACTTTTGTTTTCGTTAATGCCGAAGACAGCACAGATGCTCTCTTGCATGTTGTAAGAACAATGCTGAGCACAAAACTAAGCAAGAAATATATATAATATAAGAATATCCGGATACTTTAAGGATTCTAAACAAGATTTCTGCTATAAATATTATCCACACCTTGCTTGTCTAAAAAAAACTGTTTTTCAAGAAATGAAGCTTTTCTAGCAAGATTTTGAAAAACTGTTCATCTGAAATCTGCTGTACAAGAAGAGGACTAATGCAAGAATCATGAAGTACAAAAAAGCTTCTTTGTTGTTCATCCTTCTCTTCTATGTTCAAGCTTTTTCACGATTGTCACCATCTCTTGAAGATTCAGGTATAAAAATTACCTTCCACCCATAACACCCTGCACCACACGACCACACACACGCAAAATTCTTAGTTGACGTCGAAATTTCTAACTGTCATGAGAATCTTGGAATGTTGTTGCTTTAAGGATTGATCTACAGAAAAACACGCGTCTAGACAGCTCTACATAAAAGCATCCAAGTGCATGTACTTGTTGGTAAATAAGGGCATTTATGTGTATATAAAGTGACTCCTCTGCTGCTGGGCAACCCCAAGGCCACCTTGAATATCCATCATGTCAGTCCTCAAAAGCAACAGCATCTGTAGATTCTTGCACAATTTCGACAGTTGACGACTTCTTAGATCAACACTCTTCTTCTTGTTATAAGTGTTGGCTAATATTATTTAATCTAATCGGAAAAACATGCAGCTTGCACATTGAATTTTAGTGCATATCCTTACCTGCCGATTGGCGGATGCAGTAGTGTCGAGGAAAAGGTCAAAGACTGGAATGGTTTCCCGAAAACCAGTTGCTGCCAAAATGTCCTCACCGTGTTTTCACACGCATTAGCGCTGCACTCACTTAATGATTCATC